AGTTTGCAGCGTGACCAAGTTTGAAGCCTGCTTTTCTGGGGGAGAGGCTGAGGCGTTCTTGTCCAAATGTTGTGTTTTGTGGCTGCATCGCTCACAGGAGCGGAGGGTCTGGGCGGGTTGGCTCTGCAGTCTGTTTTGGGCTAAAGCCACACATTCTCAAGCGAGTCATTTTCAACTACGGCTGGTTTTTTAGACCAATACCATCTTGGTAATCACAATCTGTATTAAGTCCCACAGATTTGGGCTCACAGATTTTATATAACCTGGGGGGTGGGGGCAGGTGCCAATCCTCATGTCCTCTGTAGAGTTTGTTCATTAGTTTCTGGGAGTTTAAAGGCAATGAGACAGTGGGATCTTCTAATTTTGGCGTTTTTATTTTTAACGTGTTGGAGCAAAAGTAGTAAGTACTGTACAGTCAACATAGAGTGTCTTTAAAAATCTTTCATGCCTGAATATACATCTGGAACTGTTTGCACTAACTAAAAGTAAAATAAATGCCAGAGCATATTATACCATACTTTTTTTCATTTAAAAAAGGAAATTGAAAACACACCACTCCTAGAAATGCTTGACATTGAATTGGCTATTGAAATGGTATCAGTAAAGTATTTATATATTCCATATTTTGCTCCATACATCAGCTTTCCTTGATGCGTTAGACTTGGAAGCGTGCCACATGAGTTGAAATGTTGCCATATATGAAAGACCGCCTTGTTTTAAAAATGGAGTAAATCATTTAGGATACAGGACATAAAGTAAATCAGTTTGAATACATGCACATCTCTTGTTGTCCCTTCCCTACTCTCCCTCATTTTGCTTTCAGTCCTTTCCATATCTGTCTTCAGAAGTTGGCTATGCATACAGTAAATACCAGTGTTCGCCTAACAGCTAAATGTAGTGATAAAAATTACTCCTACCATAAAGGCTGAATGTATGACAAGAACAAGATAGTTCCATGAACCAAGAAATTCACAGGAGAAATATCATAATTTAGAGTCGGTTTTATAACATTCTTTAATTTAAAATGGAGCAAAATACTCTGTGGTTAAAATCACAGCTCTTCGGTCCTTGCTGTAAAGTAGATTCAAGAATGTATATTTCATTTTTTTTAATATAACCCAAAGCAAATGCAATAGATCTCTGCATACTTGAAACATATTTTCTGAATTTATTCTAAGTCTCTCGCTGCACCAGAGGGCTGTGTATATGGATTAGGACTAACCCATTATTTCACCATCTATCTCCATGCTGGATTGATTGCAGTGAACAGTGAAGAATGAATTGCAGATGTCTCTTTTCCCTTTAGTTTGGAGGATCTCTGGGTTTCAGCCCCTTATGATCAAACTGGGTTAACCGTCCCAGCCCTGCCAATGCTTACAAGTTTTCTGTGGAAGAAATCTTTGCACCTGAAAAAAGTTACTCTCCTGATATATTCAGAGCCTGTGCTCTGAAGTGTGTGATGGTGTGCGATGTGGTCTGTATAAAACTGCTTGTCTGTCCCTAATAATTCTGGATTATAGTTTAAAATGTCAGATTCCAAACGAAGTGTATCAGGATCAGCTTTGCAGAAGCTTAAAGAAATTAAACAGTTTGGGAATGTTTTCTCACTTTTCTCGCAAATTTCAGGCAAAACTCAGGGTATGTAAACCTGACTGACAAATCTAGAGCAAATCTACATGATATACTCCACAGGCAGGATTTCACAAATAAAAGATGTTTTTTCCTCTTAAACAATTATTTCTTCCCCTGAAGACTCTCATCCTCTCTGACTGTAGCCAGGTAGCCAAACATCCCCAGAGTGATTAGTAGAAAATGTCTATGCACTAGGACCCCCATGGAATAACGTGCTTTGAGGAAAAGTGGCCCATGAATACAGCGTAAATACCACTTTGCTTTCACCTCTCATATTTCCAGGTTTTTTCTTTTCAGTGCTTAGAGGTGGAACTGTTTCTGTTCCTTTTTAATTAAAAAAAGAGGCATTTGCTGAAGCTGGAGTTTCAGGGTAGGTATCAGACATTACAGGCCTCACAACTTAAGCCCACAAGCGCTGGTAGCGCGTTAGCAGCCGTGGTTCTGTCCCCATCAGCCTTCCTCCATCCTTTGAGACGTTTTTCTCTTAAAACTGAAGCGTTGGAGGCCCTGCCACAGGGAGGGCTACGTTCTCCAAGCACATGGGAGAGCTTTGCATTTGATGCCGTGCTGCTTCCAAAGCCCCCTTTCTTTCGAGGAAAGCCTCGGCTCTGACAAGATAATCTCCTACCCTGGCCAGAAGTGTTTGGAGGTGTCTTGAGAGGAGCCCGGTATCTCCTGGTGGTGCTGGAGAGCTTCTGGATGACTCGAGATAAATCTGTCCACCGAGGGACCCGTGCACTGGTTTGCGTGGCCTGGGAGGCAAACCAAAGCAGTCTGGAACAGCCTGTCTGCAGAGGGGTTTGTAGGGAGGTGCATGGAAGTTGATTAGGTAAATCAGGCTTAATGTTGGTAGAGTTATAGGAAAAGTGCAGAGGTCTGCACGGGTAATTTTAGTGATGTAGAAAACAGCTCGCCTGCCCTGCTCGAGCAAATAAAAACCAGGTCGCAGCAGAATGAAAATCTGAAATTGGTGGGCAACACCAACACACCACCGAGTTCGGTTTAAGTAACAAAATCTAGGCAGCTTTCTTGAGAAGCTTTCCGTGCAATGGAGCTCCGCTCCTCTCCGAGCAAACCCGCGTTTGGCGCGGGGCAGGGGAGCCGCGGAGCAGAGCGCGGCGCTTGGCCGCAGCGCCAGGATCCCTTTTAGCTCTCGGCAGCTGCCTGGAGGATACAGGCTGTGCCTGCTCCGTGTGAGCAGCCGGCTGCTGGCGCGTTGGGTTTCTCGCGCTCTTCCTTCCACCCACCTCCATCTCCTCTCCGCCTGTGTCTGCGCTCCCACATGCTTCAAATCTGTGTACCTGGACTGCCTTCCTTAACAGTTCAGCGTGAGTGTTAGCAGAATGAAAACCAGATGGACCAGCAGTTCCCACTGTTATCTCCCCACCAGCTCTGGCAAGCCTCCCTTTCTCTCTCCTTTCTTGGCATGGCAATTAACATTTCAAGGCTAGTTTTCGTAGTTCTTTATGTTAAATGAATGGCTTGTTGCGGATATAGATTTAAATGTTGTAGTGTAGTAATGTGGAGAGGAATTTCTACAGAATACTTTTCAGAACTTGCTTTTCTTTTCCAGCATGCAAGAGTTTTATTTGCAATTCAAGCAACAATAAATTTCACCTGTCTGTAGAAGTCTTAAATATTAACTGAGTCATTTTGGATACTGTTTCTTATCCTGCTGAGATTCATTAACTTTCAATCAACGCTGCAAATCGTAGCCTACTGTTACTGTATTCCCCTTATACAGCCCTTGTGTTGCTGTTTATTTTCTCCAAAACCGTCTCTAAATTCTTTGTGAAATGACTCCCTTACCTTGAAAAATGAACGATCTGTTGCTGCTCTACAAAGGTTTTAACATTGCAGTAGGTTACCGACCATGTCTGTATTGTACTTGCTCAGTTCCAAGTTAAAGATTGGGATTTGCTAAACACACTGTTATTTTTTTGCCTCTCCCCTCCTCCCTCTATATTCTGATTACTAAGTACTCTGATAATGAAGTGTTGTGATCAAGGATTGTGAAATGAAGGGTTGTGAAACCCTTTCTTTGTAGAATGTGTGAATTGCTTGTGATTTCTCTGTCTCTCAGGGCAAAATTTAGATTTGTCTTGGTAATCTTTGTATCCTGTTAGTAAGAACAAGGAGTATGCATGTAACACTGGAGTTGGAGGTTTTTACAGGATGTGCTTGATTTTGCCATTCTCAGATTAAGAAACATAGATTTGTAAATTTATCCTCTAGTCCTGATAGCTCCTTGCTTTGCAAAATGCAATGAATAGAGCTCGTGAAAAGAGCATGTCATACAAATACTCCCCACCCCCCAGAGAAGGCATGGAAAAACTTAAAAGCCAAACTGGATTACATCTTTACTCAAGATGGCTCCCTAAACTTCCAGCATGACTAATGAAATCTTTATTTTGCTTTCATTTGATAAATGATGTCATGTTTTGCCCGTTTTTGATAAACAAACCATAAGGTTTGCTGCTTTTTTTTCCTTATCCATTTTTGCTTCAGTTTTAATATAGAAGTTAAAACAAAAAAACTACTTGGAAAAGAAGATACTCCCTATAACTTCTGTATCTAATATCTTGCATCTCTACATCTTTAGTTGCAGGGAAACTGTTAGGTTTTCTTCTTACTTTTCCTTTTTTTTTCTTTTCCTTTTTTGTATGTTTCTATTTATTTTGCAGGTTTTAGAAATTAAAGTTGTTCTTTATATGCAAAGGTATAAATGACAATATTTGACAATGCTGTGTTTTTAAAAAAATGGTATATATGTGTGGCAAATGACTTGGCATATTGTGTTTATTCTTTTTGTGAATGTAAAAATATGACGCGACATTGGCAACATGACCCAGGAGACACCTGATATTTAGCATGGGTATCTCCTCATAGTTATAAAGATAGGTTGAAGAGATGTGAAAAGAACTGGTTTCAGCCAATACCTCACCCGTACTAAAGAGCTTCAGGTTTTAGTTGTACAAGAGTTGTGGTAAAGGGATTTAGTGTCTTCCCATCTCTTCATGTCTTACTTTCTGGCTAAGGTTGGAGCCTTGAAGTCAGGCGGCAATGCTGCAGCTCCAGGAGTGCTCAGAGGTAGCGTCTGCACATGCTAGAAATAAGAACAAAAAGATAATGCAGCCCCGCTACAAATGAGGCCTAACCATCTGTATAGCACCTTCTTAAGTAAGGTTTAGATGATGCAATTTTGAAAGAACACCCTGGCATAGATAATCAGGTGTAATCTTTTGCAGCAGATGCCAAAATGGCTGGTGTCCTGCGCTAGCTTTTAAACTGTTTTATTATTATTTATTTGTTTTTCTGAGCGGACGTACGTGGGGGAATAAAGAGCGTGTTCCTGTGGTGTGTTGCAGATCGCACTGAGAAGCATTCCACAATGCCAGACTCACCCGTGGATGTGAAGACACAATCCAGGCTGACGCCTCCGACCATGCCACCTCCTCCCACCACCCAAGGAGCTCCTCGAACCAGTTCATTCACGCCCACAACGTGTAATTAGACTTATTTTCTTCCTTTCGTTCTGTGTTTTGTGATTCTTTCTGTATGCAAGAAACAAAAGTAGGTGCAGGGAAGCCAGCATGGCATGGCTGGAGCAGCATTTGATTATACTGCAATAAAGTAATTAAAGCAAACTAAGAGCACAGCAGATTAATGCCTTTTAATCTGTTAAGACAGTTGTGGTAATTTCCTTGATGGCTTGGCTGCAGTGTCAAAGAACAGCGAGCACTGCCCTCCCATGTGCTAATGACAGATCCCATGTGCCCTCCCACAGATCAGCCCTTCTCTCAGAAGTACAGAAAAGTCTTCTCCTCTCTGCTGCCCTTCTGCCACTCTGCTCAAAGGATCCTGTTTCCTTTTGTATAGGAAATTTCATAGGAACTGGATGAGGGTTTTGCATTTATGTGTTTAAATTGAGGATTATTCATAAGAGAAAATGCCAATTAGTGGGATCACTAATGATTGAGTAAAGAATTCTGATTTGTGCTGTATAATTTCTAATTAAATTTGATACACACCCCAAAATATGGAACTTTTATTGTTTTATATTGAGATTTCTAATTTGTGGCCACTTCTCTAAATCACTCAGGTCTGGACCTCTGCCTCAGTTTACCAATGTAAACACACATGAAACGAGTGATCTTGATGGCATTGCTCTGCTTTCACATCTGTGTAGCTGAGGTTCAAATCTGGTAGATTGTCTGGACTAGTCCTTCCAAAGTCATGAAACAATCCACATCTCTCCTACTAAGATTTAGCAGCAAAGTTTGGGGTCTCTTTTATGCTGCCTTGTAATGGTATAAAGATGAGAATGTGTTTACATTTCACATCTTAGATAAAATATTTTTAGAGCAGTAGAATACATATGGCTGAGCAGCATGACTGCAGCATCTTCTGTGTGTCCTGCCTAGGTCTTTTCAGCCCTTCGTTGCCTGATACAAACCTTATTTAAACTTGGCCTCTGTGCAGAGGCCAACTGGAGGCCTTTGTACCACTTCCCAGGGAACTGTCCTGAGGATTTATACAGAGGTGTAGTGAGGAAAGTTTGTGCCAATTACTTGAATAAGCTTAAATTTAAGGTAGAGACCATGATTCTGCAAAGATCTCTCAATTTTTATTAGTTTCAGCACCTGAAATCTTAAGAACTGCTCTGATCTAAAGTTAAATAGTTTCTGTTTTTTTTCCTAGAATAGGAATCTTGCGGATTATGCTTTTCAGAGGGAGGCATCTTGTGCAGTTTGCCTTTTAGCAAAAATAAGTGGAACTGGACAAAGATTTTCTTTAATCATTTTTGTAATGATTAAAGTGTACATATACTATTCCCAGATGTTTGTTTAGTTGATTGGGTTCAGCACTTTGAAAGGTATGTGAACCATAGCTGGTTTTGGGGCAAGGGAGAGGGAGACGCTGTTTATATGAAGTCTTTTATTATTATTATTATTATTCACCCTTTTCACCTGTTTTATTTTGCAGTTTAGCCATAGCAGTTCCAACTTATGTAGTAAACAGTCACTTCTGTGTGAGTGTCTGTCGCATTCACTGTTACTACAGTAAAGAATGCCTGTAGGCTGAATGTACTTATTTTCTGGTCAAGAGTACACTTGTTTTAGACTACTAAACTATAAAACATATTCATTTTTTTAAATTTTAAATGCTAAGTTATCTTTTGTTACAGCATAGCTATATTTTAAAGCAGTGTAGATGTCTTTGCCAGTTTGCAAATTCAGACATTATAGAGAAAGAGGTAAAGCCCTTAGTAGGGGCTAAGCTTTTTGGGGAAAAAAAGATCTATTTAGAAAAGTTACATTTGGGAAGCAATTCTTAATTTCTTTTGCTGTGGATGAAGTTTTGCCTGTCTTTCTCCTCTTTATAGTTATCCTAGATAGTGAACTCTGCCATTCTGTGCTTTCTTGATTATATTCCCTAAATCCTCTTTTATAGGACAGTCCAGCACCAGAAGCTGAGTTGTATTATGGTACTTCAGTCACTTGACCAAAAATTCCTTTAAAAGGATGGTGATACCCATTTAAATCCAATAATGGAGTTGCCATCTAGAAATACAGGTGATTTTTTGAGAAAGTAGCCAAGACAAAAGGATGTCTGGCTTCAAAGAGACAATTACTAAGAAACACAGGGATTTCTTTATGGATATGCTTTTAAACAGACAGGAACTTTAGCCTATTGTTACTCTTGTCTTTCTCCTAGTAGGTTAGTGCCTTACTTTTTATTGTTTTGGGGATACATTCAGGTGTATCTGTGCTTTGGAGGAGATGAAGGAGTTGTGTGAGTGAGTGATAAAAGAAAAACATGGGGTCTTATTGAAGGCTGGAACCTGAGTGATGCCCATACGCGGGGCTGCACCAATTCATTCCTGTTTGCAGGGAGTGATCTTTTCTCTTGCCGTTCGCTACCATTTGAACTGGTCAGATCTGAGTGACTTCAGCAGAGTATCTCTGTCTGATCCTGTTACAGGTAACCTGTGTAGGTTAAGATGCCCTCAGTTTGATTCTCTCCTTTCTGTAGTGAACTAAATGGCTGTCAGAAACTGTTATTATGCAGTATGTCTGCATGAATCTCATTGTCATGAATTTTGAATTAGTACTTCAGGTACAGTTATTCCCACAATAGCCTTACAGTTATTCCCACAACAGAGGGAAAAGCATTTCCTATCTGTTTTAGAGATACTCTACTGACATATCCAAAGCCGAGCGATTTGTTCATGGTCTCCCAGGAAGTCTGTCCCAGAGAATTCTTCTCCTGAAGTCTTCTCCATCTCCCAAGTCCTGGCGCCTTAACTGCAAGGCTGAAAAGGCTTCAGTCCCCAGCGAACGTGGCACAATACCTGCACAATCTGCACAGTGTGTTCCATATGTTAGGAGCGAGGAAATCTGCATCCAAAAAAAAAAAAAATAGCCTTCTCATTGGGTGGTGGAAGGCTAAAACGTGAAAGTCCTGTTTTATAAACACAGCTGTCAGTTGTGTGTACAAAACACCAGTAAAAATATTCAGAGATAAACTGAGGCTTCGTGAAATATGTCTGTACATTTTTTCCACCCCAAAAAGTAATTTTTTTAATTTTCAGTCAGATACATGCTCACGCTTGTGCGCTCTTTCTCTCTCTGACAAAAGGCTGGTGCTCAAATGATGCTTTTCAGGTCCAGGAGCACTTTGGGGGCTGTGTGGCTCGCAGCTACTGTTAGTTCCAGTCCATACGCTGGTTAGCACCAGCTACTGCAAAGTGGATGTGAACTGCAGCGTGTCACTCTGTCAAAAGGCATAATTATCTTTGATCATGCAACTTAATTAATTTTGAGGTCAAGCACAGAAAACATAAGCTGATGGATTTCCCCTCTGTCTTTTCTCTCTTCCCGCTCCCTCCGCTTTATCCTCCCTTTTCTCTTTTTCTTTCAGTAACCAATGGCACTAGCCATTCACCAACGGCGTTAAATGGAGCTCCATCTCCTCCTAACGGCTTTAGCAATGGGCCATCCTCCTCCTCTTCCTCCTCTCTGGCTAACCAGCAGTTACCGCCAGCCTGTGGAGCTAGGCAACTCAGCAAACTGAAGAGATTTCTTACAACCTTACAGCAGTTTGGCAATGACATTTCGCCAGAGATTGGGGAGAGAGTGCGTACCCTTGTGCTAGGACTTGTGGTAAGCAAAAAACAATGCTATAAATATAACTGTGACCTTTTTCTCTCTTTTACGTTTGACGTGTTTATTGTATAAATGAGTGGGTCGCATATGCTGCACGTATCGCATTTGGAGGGTACTGCATATGTGAGAATTGAATCCTGGCTCTTGCCACCGAGCTGACATCAGCCAGCCCCTTGACTAGCTGTCAGTAAGTGGCAGCTATTCTTAACCAGACCCAGACTGGGCTCCTTTGCCAGTGCAGAATGATGCCATGATGGTGTGACAGGGTTTCCATTCGGGACTGGCAGGCTCGTAATGTAGACACAGCTTGAAGTATGTGCTATAGTAAAAAATGTTTTGGCTTTCCTAGTTTATTTGGCTTGGGGAAAGTGCCCTATATACTCAGTGACAGAATGCTGCTTGAAAGGATGAGCTGGATATACGCTTGGAGGATAACTGCAGTTGGAAACCTTTGCTCAGTACTCATTGAATCCAGCTGTGAGGGACCTGATGGGGTAATGCTGCTACGTATGTCACATTATCAATATGGTTATGTCATTGTATGTATGGGTGATAAGTTCCGACTTCTCTTATCTACATCTGTCAAGCTGTGCTGCTGTTTTACAGGCAGCCTGTAGCAAATTTGGCCCAGGACTCTTTTTATACTCAGTCAAGTCCTCTCTCTGGCAGACATCGTTGTCTCTCGTGTATCTCCTTCAGCAGTAATTA